TAGTCTTCAAACCAGTCTAAAAATCAATGGACAAACGCCTCACCAGGCATTTCTAACTCCACGAAAATGAGCACGCCAGGTAAAGTAATTCACCACGATGACGTCAATTCGATCTAATCGGTCAGGTTCTGAGTGAACTGAATGCGTGGCCGCACATAACACCAGTACTCGGGCATGTAAACTGGCTTTGCTGCTGTGCGCATACGAAGTGATGTTTTGAAGTTTGTGTAGCGATCTGAATCAAGGGTTGCTATGACAATCGTGTCATGTAGTTGACTGGTTTCGATGCAGTTGAAGACGAGCCGGGCTACATCGTAGTCAAATGTCAATCATTCAGATCTGCGGCCGTTACCTATAGCTTAATGACAACAAGCTGCTGGCATCCGGAAGTCATAGGGTCGGAACCCAGCAGAGATCTGAAGAAGTCGCACCACTAATGAGACACAGAAGGTCGAAACAGTACTGTCTTGAGCTCTTCCAGACGTGCCAAAGCCTGTTAACTGAGAGTGGACTGATGGATTCCCTCTGAATTATGCCAAAAATCTTCACTACTCATTAGTAAAATAAATTGACCAGGAATGGGTTGCATCTTATCACAGCCCGCGAAGTCGATGTCTGGATTGGTTGCCGTATGTAAGAAGCTACATGAGCCAGCCCCGCTTCCTGCTTATGGGTGATTTTAACTTCTCTCCAATACTGTGGCCTGAGGCCCAACTTCTCCACGGGTACTGTGAAAGCGAGGCGCAATTTGCGGAGATGATGTTTGAGACTGGGGCAGCACAACACGTCTGCCAACTGACGCGCATTACACCGCATTCCGATGCATCGTGCTTGGACCTACTAGTAACTAGTTACGAGCAACGTGCATATGATATGCAGATGCTGGAGCTTCTGGCAGCTTCAGGTCTTAGCCAGCCTAAAACTGCCACTGCTCTATTCGCGTCCGGATCGCGATGATCTCAATCGAATCGCCAGTGAAGTGGACTGGTCGCTACCGCAGGATTCATCTGTTGTAGCCTGTTGGTCTGTTATAAAAGAGGGTGTACAATCGTTGTGCGCTCGTTTCATACCCGTCAAATATAGGACAGCTGGACCAGTGAAACCACATTGGTTCAGCAAAGAGTATGGCCAATTAGATCGACAAGGACGCGTATTATGGAATACATTACTCGTGTTTGGCTCTATCGATGATTATGAGGCCTACAAGAGGCAGCGGGATCTATGCAACAGCGCAAAAGCACGAAAGCGCCGACAGTTCGAAGAGGAGCTTGCAACCTCAGCGAAAACGGCTCCCAAGAAGACTTGTGCTTATGTGAAGCGAAGCCTAAGGCCATCAGGTGACCTAGCAGTGTTAGAAGGCTCTGATGGACAGGATCTGACTTCCAGCGCTGAACGCAAGTCTGCATTGGCAGCGCACTTCGCTTCCGTATTTACAGGTGGGCATGCGCGTATGCTGAACTCGACGTGCAAAGCTCCGAGTGAAGTCGAGTGTCTGGATTGCAATGTAGAAGATGTCCGCAGTCTACTCGCCAGTCTTGTAGGTACGAATTCCGTCGGACCCGACGGCCTCCATGCGGTAATTCTAAAGTCCCTATCGGACATCATCTGGTCTGCTGGGACTGATTCGTTCAACAGATCGTTGTGTGAAGGTGCGTTGCCTAGCGACTGGAAATGCTCGGTAGTGAAGTCGATCCCGAATGACGGTGACGCGACTAAAGTGGACAATTATCGACCGATTTGTCTGACCTATATTTTGGTGAAAGTGCTTGAGAACATGGGGAAAAGGGACTTCTCCAGTTATTAGCATCGAAAGACCTAACACCCGCACAGCACAGTTGCATGAAGGGCGGCTCCTGCATCACCAACCTGCTGTTGACGCGGCAAGGATGGTTGCAGGCGTTGAACCGGGGGAAATCAGTAGATGTTATCTACGTTGATTTAAGTAAAACTTCCGATAAAGTGAACCATGAGGTCCTACTCCACAAGCTGAGTATGTGTGGTGTTGGTGACGAACTACACCAGTAGATCAGTGACTTCCTCAATTGGAGAAAATGGCAGGTACAGGTGGATAACCACCTAAGGGAATGGTGCCCGTCTACTAGCGGCGTACCCCCAAAACACAGTAGTGGGGCCCATTTTGTTCCTGATCTACATCAAGGAAATACCACAGCTTCTTCGGTCGCCCTGCGCATGGTTTGCAGACGAGCTGAAGGTTTGGAGGGTTTTTGATTCTCCCAACGACTGTGATGTCCTTCAGCAGGACCCCGACCGCCTGTCTCTGTGGTCTGCAGAGGTTGAGGTGCCGCTCAACCCGGTCAAGTCGTCATTTACGAGTCGGAGGAAGGATGGTAATGGGCGCATGTATACCATTGCCGGCCAACCGCTGTATTCTACGAGGTTCGTAAAGGACCTAGGTGTACTCTTACGCTATGATCTGAAGTCCGTCGACAATACGAACAGACTGTACAGAAACGGACTACATCTGCTTTGGGCACTTACACGTAGCTTTGCACTTGTTCTGAAGAGATTGCCACTCGTAAATTCTCTTCCATGATAAGACCGGTGTTTGAGTACGGCTCACCTGCCTATTATCCGATCACAACAGGTGAGATGCAGAGACTGGAACGGGTCCAGCATGTAGCTAGTCGGCTCATCCCCAGTTTACGGGGTAGGTCGTACGAGTACCGATGTAGGACACTATGGCTTTATACCGTCATATCGTCGGCATCGAGTTGATCGCATAATGACGCACCGGATATTGCACCTGGGCCACTTCCTCATGCTGAAGTCGCTGCTGCATGTTCGCGCACCAAACAGCACATGCGGACACTAGTACAAACTAGTGGTACCGGATTTGAAGCGTATCGCTCACCCTCTATGTTTCGGGCGGTGAAATATTGGAACAAGTTGCCTGAGACAACAGTCGAGGCGAAATCAGTGTCGGAAGTTAAGAGATTCCTCGAAGCCAAGTTTGCGGATTACAGTTATAGGGAGCGTATCCCACCCGGATAAGATGTAGTGCAGCTGTAATATGCTGCCACCGCGCAGGATCGGCGATGTGATTCCATGCAGGTGCCGATCTAACTACGACGGAGCAACACAGATTTATATCTTCTTACTTAGCAAGTCGGGTACGAACGGACATCGAAACGTTCCAACATTTTGATCTAACCTACTCCAACAAGGTTAAGTTTGGGCCGATTTATAAAACAGCAGATTCTTGCCTCTCTAAACCGATAAATGCGATGTCACAGATTAGTACTTTAACCGGTTCTAGCATGCGACTGGACGCGCTGTGAGCCATAGTATCAACGGCCGCAATTGCTAATTTTTCGAAGTGCTTCCACTTGGCCTGGAAAATGCTGATGAGATGGGATGTGGTTGAGAATTGCAGCCTCAATCGTATACCGCTGAAATATTCTGGCTTGAAGTCAATGACAAAGAGTTCATGTTGAGGTCTTTTGGGTTCCCATCGGAACGGATCTCCCGCCTCGCGTCTGCTGGTCCAGTTTGCATGCAAAGAAATTGGATTGGCGATAAGAATCACCGCATGCAAAAATCATCCTTATGGGCTCGTTTATGTTGCTTGAAAGATAAGCAGAAGCAGACAAGATACAAATGACCACAATGTAAGCAGTTGTATCACCGGAACTTATTGCATGCATTGTTGAGGCTAGTCTGGTTTTTCAAAACCACTTATGGAGACGGAGATTTAAACGCATCTATTAGTGGATGGCTTGTAATGTTTTGGTACGTCCAATATTGAGTATGTTATGAGAGTGACCGTATTCGGCCATAGCTAATAGAAGAACCGAATGAGCACTAGCGGAGTTCGTCATTTGGAGTTCGACAGCAGATCTACCTCCGGTGCCCTGCCGTAGCACGTGTTGTAAGCGAATCGCCTTCGCTGGTAAATCATGTACTCCGCAACTCTAAAGGACGGCTGCCTCACCTTGTGTGATTTGCCAGTATCGCGCCCCGAATGAAATCCTGAAGCATATAGACAACGATATGGCTTGGTAAACCGCGAGAGGTTATAGGAACCTTATGATTAGATTGCCGTAGTTCTTTCTGGCTCCGTTTGAAACCATCGGTTCGTATACCCTAACATTATTCTGCGCGTATCAGGCAGCCACAATCAGATATCATAAATGTATTACGAGAATGGTCAGAGATTAGATGGTTGAGTCCCTCAAAAAGGAGCTAATTTATGAGGTTGTGAACTATGGTTATGGAATCCAACCGACACCGATTCCCCTCAGACAGAGAAATCGGTCAGTCAGTTTCGATTTATCGCATTGAAAACTGAGGGGGGAGTAGGGAAACTGATGGTACAGCAGCAAGTAGTTACACAAAAATGATTTAGGTATGTGCCAGAAGGATGAACCAACACGCGGACTGATTAACGAAGAAAGTTGTGCTGCCCTAATACTGTTGGACGAGTATACAATGCGGTCCAAGCAGAGCACATCGGTCACTCCTCCGTTTAGTACAATGTCTATTGTTCCCTGCTAGAACCCGTTATGAAAAGTTTAATAATGTATGAAACATGTGTTAGTAGCAAAACCAGCACAAGTGCTCGTCATCGAAATGTAATTGTTGAAACGCTTACTCTACTTGCCTAATCGCAAAAGCAAAGTGTTGTCAAAGACCTTTGTTCCACTTTCCTTACTAAAACTAAGTTGCACTACCCACGGCATGACATAGCAACAGTGCCAGTCTATTGAAAAGCGCCAATTGTACTACAATTGGCCCGTAGTACTACTACTGGACAAAATTTACGTATACAAGTTTATCGCGAAAATCACAGCTTGGAGACCTGGTTATGTAAAGAGAATAGGTGTGGTGCGGAAAGAAGCTTTCACGCTTATAGTAGGTGCAAGGAAACGTATGTCTGAGTCGCAGATGTTTGTGGCAAGGTAGAAATTCTGTGTGAACTTTAAAACAGCGTGTAATAATACAAGCCACTTAACGCTAAAAGCGGAGACAACCAAGTTTACCTCATCTCTGTAAACAAATCCCGCAGCACCAACGGCTATTTCTGCGGCGAAGATAATCAGCAACAGGGTGAAATAGAATCCGAGAAGACAGCGGCTATAGTGATAAGAACCGCAGCAACCCAATATTCCGAGGATAACGCTCAGTGCACCAATGACAGCAATGCCGATATACGTGTACGCCAATATGTTATGGTTCTCCATCCCACGAAGGCCGAAGGTGGAGAAGTAGAAGTATAGTCCCGCTGCTAAAACGGCCAGCCCGACAATCTAAAACGGCGGACAACAAGGTGCGACAACATAGAAGTCACATGCAATAAAGCAAGGCAAGTAGGGCAAAAGTGGTTAGCATAAAAAACTTTCATAGGAAAGATCAAATTAGGCTTCGGAACTATGTAGATTGATTCGCGCATCTGTGAGAAAGCACAAATGAGCATACGAGTAAATGCCAAACAAAATAAATAGTGAAGTGTAGGGGAAATCAGACAAAAGTAGCAGACAAAAGTAGTAGCTAGCGGAGCGCAACCAAAGTCAGCAAAAGCGGCATCGCATCAGTAATAGGGTGAAAAGGCTCGCAGATGAAGGCTACAAGCAAAAACGTAAAGATAATCACAAGTGCAAGCGACAGAAAAACCAGCGCAGGAAGTAAAGGCAATACACAAACATCCATGGTAAAATAGTCAAATAAATCGCCAGCTGTACGCCGTAACGGTGCTACGCTACCAATGGACCACCACCAGTCGCGCGCGGGCTGAGTATACCGCAAGGACGCCCATCCCTAAGCGGATCAGAACCAGTAACCTTATGATTGCAAACCAGGCGCGCAGACCACTCGGCCAATGGCCGATATCCATGGTAAAAGCAAATACACGCACATGGAAATCGGGTGGAGACAAAAGGTTACCAACGAGCCGGTTTCTTTGCAGTTTTCACTGCACGCGCCGTAATCACCATTACCCCAGGGATAAATCAGCACCAAACACACTTCAAACGGATAATCCGGATGGAAATGTGCAGCAATCACGCCACTGGTGTCGGCTGCGACCAAGCTAGATGTGAATCGCGTAGATGTCATCATAAAGAAACAAAGCTTTATTCTGGAAAGGTCCGAGGCACGCCTCGCTAGGAATGGTAAACAAAACCAGCCCACGACACCCAGCAATAGCGATCAGCAACTGCTAGGGTTGGCTTGCCGAACTACCTACTCGTGGTGCCAGCTGGCTGGTTGGAGATTTACCCATTCCAGCGAATGATTCGGCGGCAGTGTTCCAGGAGGTGGGTTTTCGCCTGGCAAGCGTTCTCCCTATAAAAAGCCACATATGTCCGTTTAACAACACTGCGACGTGGCAGATGTGACTCACCACTAAATAAAGTCACTGCCCCTTGCTTCACTCCAGTGGAGCATTGTATTCCAGCTGCCAGATGCTGTCATCGTGGGGAGGATTGGGCCCCTGTTTGGTACCTGACCAAACGAAAGGCGTATGAACCGAGTAATCGGTCACCGGCTCCCAATGGGCGCGATACCCTGAATTCGCCCTGCTGCCTTGCGGGTAGGCTATTGAGCCAAAGGCTCGGGGTGGCGGCCCCCTAAGACAACCCCTACTTCTGCCTAGGCAACCGGGTAGTATCTCGCCTAATGATGAAGCATGGAACTGAACCGCACTCTTCGTTCTACTGATGCTTTGTTCTCATCATACTACTGCAAACACACTTCCATCACATGCCACTCGCTTATCTACTCTTCCTCTGTATCATCCCCGTTTTTGTCTGATCAATCAATGATGAGCAGCATTAGTTACTTTGATATCACTGTTGCCGCTCCATCCTCTGACGAAAGCACACAGCGCCAAACCGGGATTGAACAGTCCCGGATTCTCCGTTCTCCGCTTCTGTAACCGAAGACACAGTTCAACTTGGCGGCATTCAATGCGCGCACCTTAAAACAGATTGGGCAGCAAGCTGGTCTCGCGCGCGCTCTATAAACTCTTGCAACTGATGTCTGTTGTTTGTCCGAAATGCGACTTCAGGATTCCAGCACAGTCTGCCCATTGTCGTCACCAATGAACCCTTATACCCTTTGCCACCTTTGACTTTCTGGAGATGTCGTGGCTACCGCTTCTGGGCAAGTTGGTGTTGGGGTCGCCCTTAGTGCCAGAGTCGAAGCCGCCCTTCTCGAATGGATTCCGATCAACAGCTGCCTTTGTGCTGTCGGGCTAATGGCTCGTGCAAGGTTAATAGACGTCGAGAAGAGAAACGTGCTCTTTTTGTAATCTCTGCCTATGCTCCCACTGACTGTAGCCCAGATACCGTCAAGGACCAATTCTATCAGAACCTTCATGATTTGCTCTTAAGGGCCCCCCAAAACGGACATCATCATTATGGCGGGGGATTTCAACTCCCGTGTTGATCGTTTGTTACCAAGCGGACACCAACTTGGAGGTCCGCATGGATACAACTTTCGCACAGACAACGGTGAAAGACTACTCAGTTTGTGTGCTGTCCACCAACTTTACCTCTCCAGCACGAAGTTTCGAATCCCTAGAAGTCACTACGCTACCTCGCACGTTCCATTATCCCCACAAAGTTGGTCACAGATTGACCACAACGCCATAAGTCATCGCTGGCGTGGCAGTATTCGGGACTACAGATCCTATTTGTCAACATGACTGGAAACTGATCATGCGCTAGTGCGTGCGTCGATTTGCATGCGTTTCGGTGGCTCGCCTAGGGCTAGACAAACTCGACTTAACTCTGAAAAACTGGGAGACCCCGCCGTGCGATTGGAATAGCAAAAGCGGCTTGGTGAGAACCTCACTTCTACGGCTCCTCGGGACGTTGATCAGCATTGGTCGCGATTGTAACAGATTATGTTTTCAGCGGGCTTATCCAGTTGCGGTCTTGTTGGGTGCACAACTAAAAGTTGGGTCTCGGCCAACTGCGCGGAACTTATTGACTATCGGCGAGCTATACCCGTCAGTGTGGAGCACACTGAGCTCGCCGTTCTATTTCCAGACAACTGAAAGTGAGTCTTCACCGTGACCGTGAATCCTGGTGGTTTAAACAGCCCAAGGAAATGGAAGTTGCTGCCTCTGCTGGTAATAGCCGCAGGTTGTTTTACTTCATCAGATCCACCGGAGGCAAAGTTCAGGCCATCAGTCAGGCTATTTGTGAGTCAGACAGTACAAAGATCACCAACCTACGCAGACGCCTGGATCGCTAGGCAGAGCACCTTGCTCTACAGTTTAATTGCCCAACACAACCTCCGGTTACACATCCACTGCAATCATATGATCCTTGGTCAGTCTGCATAGATCCTCCCACTGAAGCAGAAATACGGAGAGAAATCCAGACTCTGAAACGCCACAAAGCTCTTGGCCTTGACAGTGTTCCTCCGGCCTTATTTAAAGATAGGGGAAGTTAGTTGTCACCGAAATTCTATCACTGTTCACAAAGGTATGGAGCGACGAGAAGGTTCCTAACTCATAGGGAGAAACTGTTGTGGTTCCGATCCACAAGAAGGGCTCTCGTAGTGAATGCACCAACTACTGAGGAATCCCACTTATCTCTGTCGCGTCCAAGCAGTTTGTGTCTATTCTGCTGTGTAGGCGAGTTTGTGTCGTTAGGAACAGCCTGTTTTCGTTCTGGCCGTGGTTGCATAGACCAAATTTACGTTGCGTCAAATTGTCGAACATCGTCATGTCCACCGAAGAAAAACAATGGTGGTGTTTTTGGATATCCGAGCCGCTTTTGATGTAGTAGATAGGTCGTCACTGTGAAACTGTCTGCTACGGAACGGTGTTCCCGACAAGTTTGTCATACTTGAAAGAGCTGTATAGAGTCATACCCCTGGCTGTTAAAGCTTATGAAAGGCTTTCTTTCTCGTTTCCCGTTACCAGTAGAGTGCGCCAAGGTTGTCTCATCTCGCTATTCCTGTTCGAATTTGCCATCGAAAATGTCCTACATAACGCACTGGAAGGAGCCCAGAGCTACGGCGTTGAGCATCTATGCGGGAGCAGAGTCGTGGACCTGGACTATGCTGATGTCATCGCTTTGCTGGGGACGACTCGCAGGTTATTCAAAATATTCTGAACCGCTTAGCTATAGCTGCATCTAAGTATGGACTATATATTGTTTCATCCAAGTGTAAAGCGTTGCTCCAAGATTGACAGGCTCCTGTGCCTACGCTCACCATTTCGAGTGTCAGCCTGGAGCTGGTTAACAGCTTTACTTACCTCGGGAGTCGTATTACGGCTGGTGGCGGTATGGGCGATGAAATTCCACAAGGAACTGCCAAAGCTCGCCTTGCATTTACTAACCTGAGACACTTGTGGCGTCGTCGAGATGTCAGTCTCAAGTTCAAAAAGCAAGTGTACAATGTCACAGTCCGTGCTGTCCAACTGTACAGCCATGAGAACTGACCTGTTCGATCGGAAGATTTGAGACGACTGTCTAATTTCCATAACCGCTGCTTGCGTTCGATTGCTCGCGTATGGTGGTAGCACTATGTGCGCAACGCGGAAGTTAGAAGCAAAATCATGGGAGCGGACAGTTCTTGTCTCCAGAGCATAAACATCCAGCACCAATTGCGTTGGCTCGGTCAAGTACTGTGCATGCCGGCCCACCGCCTTCCACGTCGCGCATTATTTGTACTGGACGCGAATGGAAAGAGCCGCGGTGGACAACCGATGACCTGGAAAAGGAGTATGAAGATTCTAACTTCGTGTCTAGCGTCAGTTGGATCCGTGCGTCTCCCAAGCTGGGGACCACGTGAAGTGGATTCACAATGGTCGGGAGTCTTGGAGGATATGGCCCGCAATAGGAGTCAGTGGCATCAATGCTGTTCTGCCATATCTACATCCTGTACTTTTAATGTTGAACAAAACATGAAAACAAACAAACAACGGTGTGTATGAAACTGAAAAAAAAAAACATTTTTCCGACGTTTTACTCTCTCTCTCTCGCTCCTCGTTGAACAATATATTCTCCTTTACTTGCCACCATGGTTCGGATGGCACATTTGTCCGCTTACAGACTTGTGAACACATATATATATATATATATATATATATATATATATATATATAGCAATCAACATCGAAAGTTACACTACTGAATATCCAGAAAGCAAAACAAGGCTCTACTCGGTAAATGCACATATATGTGGCACACACGAACCAATGCAACTGGCGCGGTAATATATGCCGATTCAAAAGAGTAATCTACCCATCGCCTCCTAGTAACGGGCCCGCAACTCGTAGTCGCAGAGGCCC